CCTGCCGATGCAGGGGGGCGGACTCAATTATCTATTGAGGTCCTTTCCGACCGTAACATCTATGAATCTATGACAAGTGGTTGGGGGCAGTGAGTGGGGACCTTGGGTGCTGGGGGAGGGGAAGTCAGTGGACCTGATTCAGGTCAGCAGGGAAGGGAGGTGCATGGTGTGTTTACACTAAAATGTAGCCTAGCATGGCTGCACCTTAGTGTAACACAAGCTGGGTAGCACAAATCAGAGACAATCCTTGCCCTGGAGTCGTGTCACTTTGAGCTGCCTAAAGAGTGCTTAAAACCAGTTTCAGGTGTTAATATACGGTCAATCCAGGGATTAAGAGCTCCAGGAGCCACTCAAAATTACCATGCAACAAGGTCCTTAATTACCAGGAGTATCAAGAAGCTTTGTCTGTGCCAAATTCAAACCAAACAGACTAAAACCAAAAATATGGATTTTTACAGGATAGGTAAATCAAATACATCAAGAAACAGTGACCACTTGGCCAGATGCCTATTTTTCCAAGCTAACAACAGAAAAGCTTTTAGAAACATCTGAGTAAAGAAGAAAGAAAAAAATCCTCACCTTTTCTGATAGTAATTTGTATTGTTTCATTAAAGGTTGCACCTTTGCAGACTCAGAATACATTTCACCATAAATCCAACCATTAGCAAACTGAAAAAAAAATGGGAATAGGAATAGGAGAGAAGTATAATTAGAAATCTTATATTTATTTAGGCAAAATAATTGGGATAATGTGTCTACCAGGACTATTTTATTTCTTAAATCAGAATCTTCTTTTCCTCTGTTTGACATTCCCTCACAAACCTCTCTGAATATACAGACAGCAGAATTAATGAAGTATCACCTTTCACACTGAAATATCTAGACTTTTATTACCTCACAATTTTAACATTTATTTTAAGCAACCCATTTAAATATATTTTGTTTACTGTTCCTTCCACAGAGAATAGATTTTGACACAAAGTCTGTGGTGCTCACAAAGATGCAAAATACTTTTATAAAATTAAAAGTAAAAAAAAAAACACTTGTAATCTAATAAAGGAGGAAACAGTGATATGGCAAAGCTGTGAATGGATCAATGCCATTAACAGAATGCCTGGAAAAGCAACCCTTATGAAGGACATAAGAATGCATTGTTATTCATACACAATTGGTACAATGTGGTACAATTGGTACAACTACAAAATATGACTGTACAATCTCCAGAACACTAAACAGATTGATTTATAAATTCTTAACTTTGCCTTGATGGAATATTAGTAGAAATATTACCTTTTCCATGGACCATTTATCATGTGAATGTTCTGCATATTTATTAATGAAATACTCTAGCTTCTCAGGAATAGTAATACTGGAAGGAAGAAGAAAGGTGTCACATTAAAATTATTGCACATTCAAAGTAAATGTCTTTTTCAAAACAATTCTGAAAAATGATTAACATTGTATACAGCTGAGTGAACAGGATTGTTGTGCTGGGTTCCTACTGTACAGACTGACTCATGATTACTATGGAGTAATTTACTCTGCATTTTACACTAATAAATTTATTTGACTTAAAGGAGCAGACACACAACGACCTTTTTTAACAAGCTATCCCCAGTCAGCACTGTTAGAAGCCTGGGCACTAAGGGACAGAGAAATAATTTTGCAAAGGGCAACCTGAGAATAAACTGAGGAATGGAACAGACACATTACTAGTACAACTATACGTAGCTACTCCTCATTTTCTGAGGGGTCACTTTATCTTAGAATGGAGTGACTTGCATTAACACAAATCTGTATACCATATGTAGGGGTCTACCCACCTCAAGGAGGCAGGCAGCTGATTTCACAAGAAGATTGCAGGGACAGTCACCATTTTCTCTGGCTGATCGCAGCAGACACCCCATGTCTCTGCTTGGCCAAGGGGCCCCAGCAGTCCTGTCCCTCCCTGCAGATTGGCAGATGGCCCAAAACTGTGGCTGTATTACCCTGATTAAACCCAGGGATGCCATTAATCTACATATTATTAAGTGTGGATTAATGGCTTTCCTGGGCTTAATCAGGGTAATTAAGATATAGTTTCAGGCCGTCCCCAATCCAGTCTTCAATTAAACTCTGCAAGTGCATCTCAGGGTGGGTGGTGGGTAAGGGGCCAGGGGCAGTGCAGCCCCATCCTCTTCCCATCCATTCACCAAAAGGTACAGGTAAAACCATCACTGGCAGTAAGCAGAGTCAGGTCTCCACAGACGAAGTTGCAGCTGCTTGCAACCGCTGTGTTTCCTGCTGCAAGCAGCCCAGGCTCTGTGGCTGGTGGCAGGGGCCTGCACCCAGGCTGGCTGTGGCAGGTAGCTAGGAGGCTGCAAGTGGCTGCACTGGGCTCTGTGGAGCCCCAGCTCTGCTCATTGCCACCAGCAGGAGCATGAGCACCTCAGGGCAGATGGCAGAGAAGGAGCTGAGAGTAGTGAAGCCATAGCCCCTTCCCCATTATCCACCCCACATGTGCATCCACCATCAACGAGTTGGGCTGAGGCTCTGCAGACACCTATGCAGGTGCTTGCACTCTCCCTGCCACCTGCTGTAAGCAGCTCCTCCCCACTATGCTCCAAGACTGCAGGGCTTCCTGCCCTTTTCTCTATTTGCTGGTAAGTTGTTATGTTGGGTTTTTTTCCAGCAAGCCTGCCAAAATCGTGGCACCCACTGTTTTTTGCGGGAAATGCCCGATTTCATGTTTTCTGCGAAAAATGCAAAATCGCAATTTTGGTAGATCTCTAAACATACATTTCCTACACTCACCTCAGTGAAGTAAAATCACTCTGTAGTACATAAGTCTTGAGTCTGCACCTTAAGCACACTTGAAGTATATAATGTATGTGAGCAATGGAAACAAAGGACACAAGCAGTGGGATTTTGACTGCCTTTTCAAAGTGTATAAGTTAAGGGAGAAAATTCCTTCTGCCCACTTCTTCAATGTTGCCCCACTCTACAAAAACAGCTAAAACAAGAGTAGAACACTTCGGAATCTTTCAAGAAAAAAGGTGCTGCATCATCATTGAGTTTTATATTTTCAATATTAGGCACAGGGGTTTAGCATCTCGTCTCTATTACATTTTCATGACTGTCATCATCATAGCCATTTACTTTATAGTTCCCAAAATATGGTAGGTACTTTATAGAACAATAAAAAAAGAAAAAAGAGGTTGCTACATCTTTAGGCTGAAAAATGTCTTAAAATGTGCAAGGGTGTCCAAGGAACAGTAATTCGTGCTATCTTTCATGTTTTAGAGATAACAAAAGACCCATTTTATGTTGAGGGAGCACATCCTCTATTTGTTAGCAGATGACACCAATCTGGGGGGGAGGGAGGGAGTTGTAGATATACTGAAGGGTAGGGCTAGGTTCAGAGTAACCTAGACAATTTGGAGAATTGGGCCAAAAGACATCTCATGAGGTTCAACAAAGACAAGTGCAAAGTCCTGCACTTAGGAAAGAAGAATCCCATGCACTGCTACAGCCTGGGGGCTTACTGCTGGGCATCAGCTCTGCAGAGAAGGACCTGGTGGTTACAGTAGACAAGAAGCTAGATACAAGTCAACAGCAGGGGCGGGCAATTATTTTGGGTAGAGGGCTGCTTACTGAGTTTTGGCAAGCCATCAAAGGCTGCATGACAGGAAGCCAGGGGCAGATAACTATTAATTTTCTAAATTTATTAGGGGCCCTGCAGGCAAGACAGAATGGCTTGGTGGGCCGCATCTGGCCCACGGGCCACATTTTGCCCACCCCTGGTCAATAGTGTGCCCTTGTTGCCAAGAAAGCTAACAGCATACTGGGCTGCATTAGTAGGAACATTGCCTGCAGATCAAGGGAAATAATTATTCTCCTATATTCAGCACTGTTGAGGCCATATTGGGAGTGCTGTGTCCAGTTTTGGGCCCCCTACTACAGAAAAGATGTGGACAAATTGGACAGAGTCCAGTGGAGAGCAACACAAATGGTAAGGGTGCTGGGGGACATGGGGATGTACCAGCAAGTAATGCCCTGTAACTACCTGAAAGGAAGTTGTAGGAAGGACAATTTGAAGGGTGACACTAGCATGGGTGACTGGTGCCACCTTAGTCAGGGGGGGCATGTGCCCCTCCAGTGACCAGTCAGCGACCAGGACGGGGTTCCCCCCAGGTGATCTCGCTGGCCAGGAGGGGTCCAGCCATGGCCAACCATGAGGTGGCCAATTGCTGCGACTGATCGCTGTAGCCACTTCCGGGAGTGGCTGCGGCCACTTTCAGGAGCACAACAGCGCTCTGCTCCCCGGCCAGTGCTTGTAGGGGGAGCACCAGCACTCCCACCGCTCCTCCCCCCACCCTTCGCCTAAGCGGTGAGTGTGGTCTGTCAGGGGGTGCACTGGTGCTTTCCGGGGGTACATGTGCACCCCCTACATGTCACCACTGTTTCATAGTAAACTTTAAGTACCTGAAGAGTGGTTCCAAAGAGGATGGAGCTAGACTGTTTTCAATGGTAGAAGATAACCAAACAAGGAGTAATGGTCTCAATTCTCTGCAAGGGAAGTTTAGGTTGGATATTAAGAAAAACTCTCACTTGAAGGATGGTAAAGCACTGGATAAGGTTACCTAAAGAAGTGGTAAAATCTCCATCCTTGGAGGTTTTTAAGGCCCAGTACAACAAAGCCCTGGCTGAAATGATCTAGTTGGGGGTGGTCCTTCTTTGAGCAGGAGTTTGGACTAGATGACCTCCTGAGGTTTCTTCCAACCCTAATTTTCTATGAGTCTAATTAAAGTGGGGATGGATGAAAGTATGAGTCTAATTAAAGTGGGGATGGATTAAAGAGTGTTATTTCATACAACATTCATTTACAAGCCTTCACGTCTATTAATGGTAAAAGCAGCTATTATAAAAAAATGCCTTACTTTGATGTATCAACAGGTTGTGGGTTAAAATTCCCATCTGAATCCATTGAAGATTGTTTTTCCATCATACTGACATAATTTGATTCCATGTAGTCGGGTGGTAGAGCCCCTGCAACTGCACTCAAGCAAGGCAAGGCCAGTTTAAATAGCTCTTGTTCATACTTCTGTGGAATAAACACGGAATAAAACAACACTGGTGAATGGATATCAGGCGCATTATTGGAGAAATTGATCTAGTTGTACATGAAACCAATCTTGCACAATGTGAAATCCAATCTCTTTTCTTAAAATAAATGAAACTGTCTCAGCAACAATCAAATATAACTTAATATTGAAGCTATAGTTATGAGTGAAGCATACCACCATGGAAATCAATATGGAAAAATATCAATGGAGGTTTTTAAGGCCCAGTACAACAAAGTCCTGGCTGAAATGATCTAGTTGGGGGTGGTCCTTCTTTGAGCAGGAGTTTGGACTAGATGACCTCCTGAGAACAAGACTGGGTGCTTACAAAGTCCAAAAAATAGAAAAAAATGAGAACTATTCAACACTTGCTCAAGGACGTGGATTTGCTATACACCAAATGGTTTATTATCCTAGAGAGATCCTAACTAGGTCAGGCAGCAGAAAACAAAACAAAACAAAAAACATTCCCTCCTTCACACAGGAAAAGGAAAAAGAACCACTGCTTAATGTACAAGGGCATTATCCAACTCTTGCTCAGTTAAGGCACAGATGAGACTTCTGGGATAGTTAAATAGTATTAAAGAAAAACCTGTAACATGTTAAAAAGTCCTAAAGAGAGGTTATTTATTGGAACCACTATATAATAGATATTTTACCACTTATACCATACAATATACAATACAGAATCCTACTAATTCATACTCATTGACCAGTTCTTTGAAATGAAAAGTCTTATTTATATGAACAAGAATTATAAATGCTCCCCTCCTTGGGCTACAACAGCCTGAGTTTGATGACCTTCTGGGCACATTCAAAAGCACCCCTCTTTTTTCCAACATGTCAGACAGAGAAAATAGGGAGGTATAGGACCCTAGGAGATATGAGGGGAGAAGGATTAATGTTTACTGAACTAATAATTTCACTGGGTTAAGAGATTTGGTGTTAACCAATGCATTTTTTTAAGACTGTCGAGGATTCCCAGTATTGTAAATGACATTCTACCTGATTGCAGGGTAGCAAAAACATAGATTAAAAAAAGCAGATTCAAGTAGCAGGGCCATTTAATATAAGGTGTATATCAGTTTGCTTTTTAAAGGGATTATAATAGTTATCATGGAAGGAGCATATTCTTTGACAAACTGTTATATCTAAACAGTTTAAGGATCTTTTAGGTATAAATCTATGATTAGCTACTTAATTCTTATATAATACAGGGCTTAGTCTGTCTCTCTGTAACAGTCTTGGAGTACTGTAATTGCTTAGTCAAAAAAACAGAGTGCAGAGCGCTGCCATGACGGAAGGGATAGAGCAGCACTGGCCTCAGTGCCCCCACCCCCCACTCTGTCTCCCTTATGGTGGTGCTCCGCCACCTCCGAGGAGCAGGGTCGGAGGGGGAGTGGGGAGACCAGCAGTGCTGGAGGCAGCAGTGGTACGGGGTGCTGGCAGAGGGGGACAGAGGGGCAGAGGGGGACAGAGGGGCAAGCTTCCCCCCCACCCCTCTGCTCCTGGGAGACAGAAGCAGCACGGGGTGGTGGGTGGCAGTGCTCCATCCCCACCTGCCTCCCCCCCACCCTCCCTGGTCATTCTTGGCAGGCAATTGTTTAGTATATTATAATAAAGTACACACTTATATTAGTGCTCCCTATCTATGCAGTGCTTTTGTTAAAATTTCATATTAATTCTCATGTATGTATTTTTCTTAATTAATTTATAATAACTAAATATTAATTTTGGTATAATTAATGCAGTAATTCTACCACATTTCAAATAAGTAGGTTTAATATAAAAGCTCATCATTTCTTTGTGAACATGACAAAATAGATATAAAAATTACCTTTTGAGACAGGGCATCAAAAATTCCCCAGAACAATTTTCTGGATAAATGAAGTTCTTCTTCAGAGGCTGCACCAAAGTTGCCCCATCCACCTGGCAAACAATAATATTTCCAGCATCTTTCATAATGATTTGTCAGCAACTAAAACAGAAAATAGAGTGAAATTATAAAAAATAGTATAATGTGTTCTATTTCTTTCAACCTAGGACTCAGCCACTGTGCAATCCCCCCGAAATTACTCAACAGAACAATACATTTTCAGGGGCAGCATTTCCGAACGCACTAGTCCCCATGGGCATTTTTACATGTGCTTTGGGGGTGGGGCGCTTTAATTAGCGTGGCTCTGAGAACTGCTCTAATTAAAGTGCCTGCAGACAGAGCCGACCCAAGAAGGGTGCAGGGTCTGGGGCAAATCAGCTCATGTGGAGCCCCACCCCAACCCCTGCCCCTATTCCATGTGCCCTGGATATGAAGAAGCCACTGCTGCCATTGGCAGCAGCACCAGCGGCAGGGGCAGCGAGTGGCCAGACTTGAAGCCAGCAGCACAGAGTTGCCACGACCACTCTGTCCAGCTCCGTGGGGCCCTCCAAAGTGCAGGGCCTGGGGCAGTCGCCCCGATTCACCTCCCCACCCCCCCAAGGACGGACCTTCCCTCAGAGTTTCATGCATCAGCCAACCCATGCTTCAAAATGGTGGTGGGGCACTTTAACCAAAGCTCGTGGAATGAGCTTTAGTTAAAGCATCCACTTTGAAGCATGGAGAGGCTGATACATGAGATGAGGAGGGTGGCTGGAGCGTGCTAATTAGCACACTCCAACAGACTCAAGTCTGCTCCAACACACTGTAATTTCAGCACATGGAACAGCCTCCTCACACATCTACTGGCACCCTAAAATACTATATGTGTTTAGAACCCCAGAAGGAAAGGTATTATTAATAAAATATAAGATATAAAGTGATATCTAAAAATTTTACAGTATTCCAATTCTGAAAGTTAATTTGGGGTTTTTTTGTGTGTGCTTTTTGTTGGGGTTGGGGTTTTTTTGGGGGGGGGGAGGGATGGAGGAGTTGCAGTTTTCAGAGATGTAACTTCTTAATCATAAGTAACACCTATTTTAACATCTGGTGTTGCTTAAGTAAACTCCATGCTTCACTGAAATCAGCAGTTTCTTAACTTAATTGCAATTAACTTAACTGAAATAAAGATCTCACCCAGAGTCAGCATTCTGGGTTTTATTCTGGACACTGTCAATGAGTGACCCAGACACTACTGGGGTCGAGGGAGGATGAGACTAGACTAGAACGTGGTTTTAACTATGCTGCAAATATATTAATAGCTCTTGCAACTATTTGACAATAGCTCATCCAGTGCAGTTATCCTTTACCCTACAGTCATTTGCTCTAATGGAGGGCTATTGTCAATTTCTCACTCCTCCCCCAGGCCACATGGTATAAGGCTAGAATCACCCTACATGATGATTAGGGCAGATGGACTCCATGCATTAGGAGCCCTAAGCCTCTTCCCTCTCTTCTTTAAGGCATGCATTCTCCTAAATTGTTTATAATGACAAGTTATCAAGAAAATAACCCATTGACTAAGTGTCTGCATGGAGTACCTTTTAAGTTGCAACATCATACATTTTAGTATTAACCTACCCACAGCCAAAAAAAATAAACAATTAGCGGTGGAGGGAGGGGAAATTTCTTTGCAGCCTGATTGTAGGCATAATGTCAGCCAACTAAGTGGTTTGAAAACCAATCCTGTTCTAATTCAAAGAAGGTGAGGTAGGGAGTTTTTCTCAGGGATAGAATGACAAGTTTCTTAAATACTTAACTAAAATTCTTATTTCTAGTTTGCTGTAACAACATGTCAGAGAAAAAGCATAGGCTAACGAAGATTAGATGATTCCGCGGAAATGAAATATTTTTAAATTACAGCCTGAACTTGCAAAAGTACTGTTTCAAAACTCTTTTCCCAAAACGTATTTTAGTATGTGTTGGTGAGACCAATCTTTGGCAAAGGATAAAGTCCCTAGAAATAAGGTGTTGCATCTCTCTCACATCTGGAAGTAAGGACTGTCCATACATGCAGCAGTTTCTGTTTCATTGTTCTGGATTAAGTGCATTAACTTTGAAAGTTTCTTACGCTAACACAAACAAAGCAATTTCCAAGAAAGAAGATATTTCTGTGGAGACTTTTTTTTCTGTCAAAAATTAATTCTGTTTAGCTGTCAGACTACACAGTTATAGTCTGACAGCTCTTACAGCAGAAATCTAAATCAGCATATCCAAAAACCAATGGCTATTACAAATAGAATGGAGCCATATGGAGTATCATAAGCAATGCCCATTTGACTCTTCTGAGAATACTTCAGAAGTAAGAGTCAGAGGCAACTCATTTACCAACCACACTCCTAGAGGAGAGTGAGTATTCTATTTTGAAATCAAAGACTTGAGTGGAAGTATGCAAACTTTCCCAACAGTACCACAGCAATCCAATCTATTGTCAATAAGAGCAATACCAAAGCCACAATGAATAGACCTCCATATTTAAGGATCCAAGAGTATCATCTTCCTGCTCAGAATGCTGGCTTTACCTCAACTATTCCCATAAAATAACCCCTCTTCCTAAAGCCCACCTCCCTACCTAGCAGGGACTCTCTTCTAGGGTTGTGCGAAGCTTCAGTAGCCAATTCGATTCAGAGGAGATTCAGCCTGATTCGGCAGCCAAATCTCCAAATCTGACTCGAATTGAGAGACCCATAAAAACTCCAAATTGAATCAAAGCCTCCAAATCGATTCGGAAAAGATTTGGAGATTTGGAAGGCAGACATGCAGGAAACAGAAAGGGAGAAGAGGGTGGAGGAGGGCAGGTGGAAAGACTGTTCTGATATTGACATCCATAGCTGGCCAGTGACTGTGATCTTTCTCTGAGTTCCCTTCCAATCACAGTGCTCTGAGGGAGGTACATAGAAACAACATATGAGGCTGTGTTTGAACTCATCTGTGTGCCTTTTGTGAGCCGTCTGTCTGTCTCTCTGTTGCAGCAGCAGCATCTGAAGGGCTCTGGCTTGGTAGCAGATAGTCTCTTGCCACCAAGTTGTACCCAATCCTTTCCTATTTACCCTTGCCTACAATCCCTATTGTTATCCATTCCTTTCAGCCTATTCTTCCCCCAAAATCTCTTATTTGTTCTTGTTAGCATTTTTTCTTTCCCTCCCACAAAAAGAAATCTGTGTTTTCCCTGACAGTGCATCAGCACGGTGCAGGAAAGCACAACATATATTACACACAGACACACAATCATTTTGCAGCACACCAAACAACATGAGGCATGCTGGAAAGACAGGTGCCAGGTCTTGTGGCGGGGGAGGGAGAGGGGGCAGAGGGACAGCTGCTGCAAGTTCCGCTCCCCCCCACCTGCAACATAGACACACCCTCTTTCCTGGCAGCAAGGAGTGTTCTACTGCTACTGGGAGCAAGGAGGTGGCAGCTGTGTCTGCACCTGCAGCACCACCAGTAACACCAGTAACCACAACCAGCAGCAGCATGACATTCTCCACTCCAATTTCAGTTCCTAACGTAAACCTTCCAGTGCCAGAGGAGGAGCTGGATCTAGAAGTAGGGGGCCTGAGTGCCATAGCCAAGGAAATTCTGGGGAAGGAGGGGGAATCTGAGTTTGTGCTGCACACCCCTCAAACTTTCTTTACAAGCAGGTCTCCTTCTCTGGAAGGCACTTCAAAGCAGGCTGTGGGGGCAGGTGGCTCAGCTCCTCCTGCTGTTGTGCCTCTGCCAGGTGAGGAAGGGGATAAGGCAGGATCCTCACCCTCAACCCAGAAGCAGGTGGGTAGTATAGCGTGGGATCATTTTGAGGTGGCAGGTGATCCCAGGTATGCTACCTGCCAACACTACCAAAAGCAGATCAGTCAAGGCAAGGACGAGAAACATTTCACCACCACAGTGATGCTGCTGCATCTCAGGAGGCAGCACACCCTTGCCCTTGTTCCTCCTTAGCCTGGCACCAGTTGGAGTGTGCCCAAAAAGAAGTTCCCCTCTTGCTCCAAAGCCCCCATCCCCAAGAAGCAGAGGCAGGCCACCCTGGACCAGTGGGAGAAAGTGGAGACAAAGGGGGGTACGTTCCCAAGTCAAGCGAGGTCACCTACAGCATTGGGGAAATGCTTGCTCTGGATGGCCAGCCCTTCTCCTTTGTTGAGTGGCCAGGGTTCAGGCAGCTCGTGGTGCTTGTGGGCCCATCATACAAAGTGCCTGCATGCACCACCTTTAGCAGGACAGTGGTACCCTCCCTGTATGAGGCATGCAGGGAGTACTTGAGGGAGGAGATGCAGAAGGCAGGGCCACAGGTAGCTTTACACTTCATCTCAAACATCTGTAGCAGGTGGGGTGGAGATCATGCCTACCTCTCCCTCACAGGGCACTGTCAGGGCGCCGGTGGGCTCGCCTTCAAGCAGAGGTGATGGAAAAGTCCCACATGGCAAGAGAGATCATGGTGGCCATGAAGCACATACTGCATGGGTAGATTGTTGGGCAAGCTGAGCTCATCCGTGGGTACATGGTCACCAACAAAGGGGCGAATATGGTCAAGGCAGTGCACGATGCCAACTTTGTTGGCATTCACTGTGTGGCACACAAGTTCCACCTCATAGTCAGGGATGCCTTGGAGGGGGACAGGGCTGCCAGGGATGGCACCATCACTACCATGACCAGCCAGCTCATTTCAAAATGCAGGAAGGTGGTGGGCTACTTCCACTGGAGCAACAAGCAGGGCAAGATGCTGTGGGAGAAACAGGCAGAGCTGAGCATCCTGCATCACAAAATCATGCAGGATGGGGAGACTCAGTGGAACTCCACATACCTTATACAGGAAAGGCTTGTGGAGCAACAGAAGACCATATATGAGATGGTCTTGCTTGGGGAGATTGGAATCAGCAGCCCCCTTAACAAAACATGTGGGATACCATCTTCCAGATCTTGGTGGTCTTCAAGCCATTCCTCGAGGCCACTGAGAGCCTCAGTGCTGGCAATGCCCTACTTAACCAAGTGATCCCCATAGTGAAGGAGCTTGAGAATCAAACGGAGAAGTTTCAGGGGATCAGTGTTCCTGGCTGGGGAAAGCTGCTTTCACCAGAGGTGCAGTCACCGGTGAAGATGCTGAAGGAGGGAATCAAAAAATGGCTGGATTCGTTGCAGTCCAGTACAGTCCACATGCCAGGAGGCATGTGAGAACCAAGGGTGAAGAGAAGCATCAGCAGCAAAACCTTCTATCACTGGACAGAGGTACTGGTGAACAGTCAGGGAGGCAGAAGGGCAGAGGCGGGAGGATATGGAAGAAGGGATCCACTGCATCAGCCAATCTCATCCACCACAGCCGATGCCAATATGGGCCAAGGGCGCCAGACCCCACCATCTGGTAGAAAGCTCAGAGGCCCTGGTGGCTACCTATCTCACTGAGGATGTGGAGCCACTGCTATGTGACCCCTTGGCCTACTGAGCAACCCACAGCTAGATGTGGCAGGATCTGCCCACAGTTGCCCAGGAACACCTGTCTTGTCCACCAACCAGTGTTCTAAGAGAGAGGGTGTTCAGCATTGCTGGTGATGTTGTGACACCCAACTGCACCTCCTCAGATTCTCATTTGGTGTTCCTGAAGGTGACCCACTCACTGCTGGGGTTCCCCAAGCTCCACATGCAGACAGAGTAAGTGCCACCCTCCTCACTGCACACCTATTTCCTTTCTTTAGTTGTTTTCACTACCATTTAATGCCCACTCTCAGAGCTGGAGACAGCAGTTTAGTTTTTTTACCAGCAAGCAAAGGAAGAACATCTCCCTGCTGAGCTCCCATGCCAGGATGTACTTGGAGATATGAGCTGGGGCTGTGGGGAAGGAACAGGCCCCAGGTCCCGGGCATAACCTAAAACTGCACCCTGCCAAGTTCTGGAGGCCTGGTGGGACTGCCAGTGGTGCAGCAGCCCCAGAAAATGCCAAGACCATGAACCTCCCTGATGAAAAGTGGGTAGGAGGCACCTGGTAACCTCCAGCTACCACACACATGCACGCACAATCCTGGCTGAGGAAAGCCCGACCCTTAAGATCTTTGAGAGGCCTGAGGCTTACTGGTTACAGTGGAGTTGCGAGGATGAGAACAGGAAAGTGGCTCAGATCTGACCTGAGGTACCCTCAACTGGTCTGTGCTGGGGCCAGGACCCAAAGGGGGGTCGAGGGGCCAGTGGCCCACTGCAAGGAATGCACAGAGCAAAAGCTTGGGATTCTGACTGGCCTAAAGGTGAGGCCAGGGCCTAAGGGGGAGCCAAAGTTCCCAGAGAGGGGACCACAGCTGAAGGGGGTGAAGGATGCAATGTGCAAGGTATGGGCCTCAGTGTATGGAAGGTACGGAGCTGCGGAACAGATGTCACCTCTAGACATCAGGGGCATAAATGGACAGCCTCCTGCCTGGGTATAATCTGAATCAGTTTTCCATCAAGGCGTGGCAGAAAAAATGGGTGGGTAGTTAGCCCAGAAAAGGTGGGTGGGTCAAGATGTAACTGGCACCAGGAAGGTCCCCTGTTACAGGCTACCATCCCTGTTACATTCATCCCACTCTGCCTTAACACACACAAAGCAGACAAGGTTCTTTGGGTCAATCTGATACTTTTTATTAGTCCAACTGAATAGTTGGAGAAAAATATCTTGGCAGGCTTTATGGTTTAAAAACCCTTTGTCAGGCTGAGGAAGCATCTGCAGCTGGTGCTTGTGCTTTTCCTGGATGGAATGAATAGCAAAGAAGCCAGAGGCTGGTATGCAGGCAAGAAAGTCAGTCACTGAAAAAGCAGTGAGATGACCATGAATCACCTGACTCCTGGAACTCTAAGGCTAAATTCCAATGATTCCCTAATGAGGCTGTTGCCCAAGTAAGGCTAGAAAGATCCCTTTGTGGAGAAGATCTGCAAACAATACCAAGAAGAGATGGTGAAATTCTTACACTTGAAGACAACCTGTAAGGTAGAAATAAGAGGGGTTTCCACTAACTTTTCAGAGAAACACACAGAAAACAGGTCAATTTCCTTAGAGAAGAAAGACTGACACATGGAGCCTCAGCCCAGCCGAAGTTCCTATAATATTATTCTATTTATGCTTTTAAATCAGCCATCTGTCCATCATTTTTTCATCTCGCTTCTTTCTACAAGGGGTTGAAGAAATGGCAGGATTTTTAACAGCGAGCCAGAGCGATTAGGCATTGGTTTTATGTTTTAATTTGGATGGAAGTAAAAGTAAAACAGAAATATGAATTACTGGTTGAAATATATAATAATGTATTGTTTTATTTTTTGTTAGAGGGATATCATACTAGTAGGCATCTATGTAGGAGGGAAGCTAGGTCTTATATTAAAAACATGACACTGTAGAAGAAGATTCAAATATATCTTTATCACCGATTCAAATACACTTTTACTATACAACTTCACTTACCTTAAGAGGCATCTTTGCATGCTCATTTAGTAGAGGAACATCAAACACTAATCTCCTCAGCAAGTGTTGCATCATGGAAGGCCTTAGCTGGCTGCAAGCAGACAGATAGTTTCAAGGGAGTGTACAAGAAAAGTCTATGTAATAAACAGATATTGCACTGAAACGACCACAGAGACAAAGGACCCACGTCAATTTGTCTACACCTCCAGATTTTCCTGAATCTAGAAAGATATTCAATTTTGTGAATGATACAGCAGTTTAAAAATGTGTGGGATGATGACAGAGAGCAAACAATATAAAATGCATTATTAAGGAAACCCATTAGGTCTTCCTATGTGTGTACAGTGTGGACCATGCAAATGATACAAATATTTGGTGCAAATATTAGATCTATGATAGAGAAAAGCCAGTATTCTTCTACTGCATTTGGTGATCAGTATGCATATTGTAACAGACAGGAAATTATATAATAAAAATCTCTTATTGAATGGTGCCCTAACCTGACTGCTACATATGCTAGGTGTTGAAACTGTCCCAAGCAAACATACAGAGGAGTACAAAGCATTAGCTGGAAGGACAGAACAAAAACTAATTCAAATATAGCAATTACTGTGTTTCCTTGAATACAAAATGCCCACAAATAAGACACACACATCTATTTTGAAAGGCAGAATGAAGATCTCTCCTTGAAAATATCAGTAGGTATGCTATTTTCCCAGGGAAAATACAGGCAGCTGCAGTAGTGGGAGAGCAAAACATTATGGCTGCTCTAACCCCCTGGCTAGGGACAGAAATTACACATAAAGCTGTTTAAGTGATCAGGAACTGATTTAAACCTGTTACACAACAGAAGTTCAGTGCACATAAACTGCTTTCAAAATGGCCAAAACTGGTTAAAGATAAACCCGGTTTAATGTAGTATCAGACTTAACTGATTTAAATCAAACTGGTTTATGGAACTTCTGTCCCAGATCCCCTCCCAATTCAACTTAACTCACAGTCCTCCAGCATCCCAGGATGCTGTGCACCCCTAGACTGTGCTCTCTGCTCCAGCAGAACAGGGCAGCCTTGCCCCCAACTGTAAGTGGTGGAGGGTGGCTGTTCCATCCCAGGCAGACAGGAGGCAGAAGGATTCCCCAGCCCCTCCTTGACAAGGGAATTGGCCTGGTTCCCGGCTGGGGTTGGGGAAGTAAAGCTCCCGCTGTTGGCTTTTCCCCTGCTGAGTACAGTCTGGCTGGGGGTCAGGAGCTGGGTAGAGAATGACAATTTTCCTCCCCACTCCCTCTCCTCAGCCAGCCTTCCAGCCAGGGATGGAGTGTGACTAGGGGATTTCCCCGGCTCCTGGCTCAGGGTGGGGGAGTAAAGACCCCACTCCGGGCTTCCCTACAGCTGGGAGCCAGGGTGATCACCTGGCCACACGCCTCCCAGGCTGGCTGGGAAAAGGCTCCCTCCCACTTAGCTGTGGACCCCCAGCAAGGATGTGCCCAGCACAGGGGGGAGGTAGCCTGCAGTAGTGACCATTTTACTGCCCACTCCTTTCTCTGCCAGCCTGTTGGTGGAGGAGGAGACATGGCTGGGTGATTGCCACAGCTCCTGGCTGCAGGAAAGCCCACAGTGAGGGCTTTACTTCCCCTGCTCAAGCCAGGAGCTGGGGTTATCACATGGCCATGCCCACTCCTTGGCCAGCAGACTGGCTAAGGAGGGAGTAGTGAAGGAAAAAAGGCTTCCGCTGAGGGCTTCTTCCCCTCCTTGCACCCAGCACAGCCTGGCTGGGGGTTCAGAGCCGGGTGGAGAGAAGGCATTTTCCCCCACCACTCCCTTCTCAGCCAACCAAGGAAGGAGCATGGCCAAGTGATTGGCCCAGCTCCCATCTCTGCGTCTGGGGGGAGAAGCCCCCTACTGAGGGCTTCCCCCCCCAGTGCCAGGGACACCCCAGCTGGGGGTCTGATGTAGGGAAGGGTTCCCCCCACATCACTTCCTGAGCTGGCTGGAGGCTGAAGAGGAGGCATGGCTGGGGGAATCATCTGTGTCCGGCTCTCTGCAGTGGCCAGCAGGTGGGAGGCATGCTCTATCACCCCTTGCCACCTGGTATAGGGCACTCCAGTAGTCTAGTTGCCTTTCTGGTTTGAAAAGTGAACATGCTCCTGGACCCACAGTCCCCTGGCACCCCTCACTCCCAAGACACAGCCACCCCAGCTGTGTCAGTGCCTCTCACTCCTGACCCACACCCCCCGCCGGTCCCCTTCAATCCCAGCCTGCAGCCCCCTTGGTCCTCCCAGCCCTGCAGCATCTCCCAGCCACTTGTCCCTGCTTATAAGGACACAGGCCACCATGCTTGTGGCCCAGCCATGCATCTCAATGCTGCCCCCAGAGGGCCCCCTGCCCCCTTCCCCTGCTGGAAGGGCAGGCACCTCTTACCTACCTCCCCTTCCCTCCCATCCCTTGCTGCAGGCCCAGCACCCAGACAGCTTCCCCCAGTGCTGGCAGGCACCTGCCCTCCCCCTCAACACACCCATCCCCTCCACACACCCCTGCCACACACACAACCTCACACCCCAGACAGTCCCCAAGCCCTGGCCCTCCAACCCCTGCCCCCCATAGACTTACCTGCATGCAGCTGCCAGGGCTGCTCCCACCACCCTGCCTGGCTGCATGCCAGCCACATTCGTGTGTACATGCAGACACATGTGATGCCTGCTGCCTCCAGTCACCTTCCCCCCCACTCCCCTAAGCCCCAAGCAGCATCTTGTTAGGGCAAGCGAGGAACTACTGGGAAAAACTTCAATGTTGAGCAAAGCAAAATCCCAGACATTTTATCATAATTAAAAAAAACACCCAGATGGAGATTGGAGGACTCAAAAAGAGGACATGTCTGGAAAAACCTGTATGTATGGTAACCCTAACTGTGCTGTGCAGCATATACAGAGTTATTTTCTCTCTCCCCTAGCAGAGAGTCAAGCTACAGAACCTCCTATTACTGTATTTTCCTATTTAAAACACACACCCCTATTTCCAGCAGATTTGGGAGGGGGGAGGGGGGGGACATGTTGTATGCAAGAAAATAAGGTAAACTATAATAGAAATATGATAATTTATAGAATAAGTATGCAATATAAAGAATTGCAGGACACTACTTTTATTCCCTATCAATCTCAAAGGAGTTTGTATTATTGTACTGTGAATCAACATGTGCTGTTTAAAATACCATTGACAAGTGTCATTCCTATGCTGTGCTAATAATATATTAATAACATTCAGAAGGGGTTAAGTGTTCTAAAGTGCACAAATCCCATTGATGTAGGTCCCTAAGTGCCTAATCAAATTCTGAAAATGAGATTTTGATGCTTTGCAAATGTTACCTAGGAGCCACTATGTTCAAGACTGCATAAACCCAACATGGAAGAATAACATGGTAGGTGGGTAAAGTGTTCTGACAGTGAGGAGGGAAGTGCAGAGGGAAAGTGCAGTTTTCAGAAGCACAGAGCCAGAGAGGCTCCTCTCTCACTGCCAGAAAGAAGGCAGCTTCTGGTAGGTTTGCTTTATTTACCCTGGTTTGGGTCTCTCCAAGAAGATTAAACACTGTTGGGACAACCTGAACATGGAGCTGACTAGCCTAGCTAAGGAAGCTGGATAAGTGACCTGCTTACAGTGAGCTTATATGATATTAATGGGCAGTTTAAAGTTTAACACATTCACAGAGAAATCTAACCTTTTATATTAATTCAGCAATGAACCAATTGTACTAATCTACAATATTTAAATGTTTCTAAAAATGACACCATTCTAGATTCACAATTCTGTACTTATGGAGCTTTATGTATGCAGTCTTGTCCCTTTGTTACTTGCTGAGATTTTATTAAGAAGTGCCTGTAATAGAAAAATAACTGAGACTACATATATTTTTAACTATTATCTATAGAACCTGAGTGAAGTCAAATGTGTATTTCCTTCTCAGCCTCTTGTGAGCTAAGATCAAGTTATTTTTCTTAAATGCTAGTGAAAAAAAAGGAAGAGTCTAGAATGTAACATATTATATTAACTAAAATGCATAGCCATGCTACTGATAAAAGGTGACATGCAGTCAGGTATTCTTTTGTTCAGGTCCTGCAAATATCACATCTCAACAGATCATATTTCTGTTCAGTCAGGAATTTTTGCTTACCCACAAATGGAGAGTAAACATTCTTCAATGGAGTCCCTCTGAGCTTTGGTAAGAGAGCAGCCCTTTGAAAGTCTGTATACAGTATGCAATAAGGAATCTATAAGAGAAGCATGGTGCTCTGTGCCAGCAAAAAGAGGAGCACATCTGGTCAACAAAGGCAACACTGCAGTGCAAAGGTATCGATTCAGAGCTAAAGCCATGTCGGTAGCACTCAGAGCAGCCTATGAAATAAATTGGACAAAACTTAATTGGAGTTGTGAGGTAAGTACTGTTATAGCAGAAAAAAGTACTTCTTTTCTATTGTTGCTTTTATGGAACGGAGGAACTCATGCAAAAACAAAGTGGGTTTTAGCCAAATTCCTTCTTATACCTTTACTGATCTCTCCTTAGATGCCTTTAATACTAGAGTACCATACAAGTTCTAAACTTATGTACAGGGGACAATTATTCACAAATCAAAACTACACCTGACCTGCAGATCCCTGGCAGATCTTTTTTGTATTTTGGGGGGTTTTTTTAAGTCTGCACCCACTGGCAAAAAACTAAGTCAGTGCCTATGATTACCCTCCATTTCTCAAAAAACTACAATTTAATTATTTCTTTTCTATAAAATGTCAAAATAGATCTAGAAATCTAGAAACACAGCACAGTACTATGTGACTGAATATGTATATATATATGGTACACTGGTGGTTATTAAACATTTTAGAAACAAGATACCCCTCCATAATATTTCTGAATTTACCATTTTTTGACTGTGGAAAATACAGAAATTGTTCTGTTGCAAAGAACTCAGAAAGACCACAACAGGTCATGATATTTTTGATACTCTAGATCAGTGCTTCTCAAAGTGGTGGTTCGCGGACCGGCCACCGGTCGGCGGTCCATATCAAGTTGCCAGGAAAGAAAGAAATATATTCGCTGGTCCACAGCGAGTTGCCAGGAAAGAAAGAAATATTTTTTTCAGAAGCATAACATTGATATGTCATAGCGCCAGAGTTCGTACGTTCCAGCACTCCAGGTGACGTCACATCATGCGAGGTGAGGAAAGAGAAAGAAACAGCAGGTCGTGTATTTGTGTAGCGCTGTTACGTGCAGTTGCTGCCACCGGCTGAACCAGTCCCCGGTCCCTGACCCACTGGAAAAAAAATTGCCGGTCTGCCACATCAGATAATTTGAGAAGCACTGCTCTAGATTCCTATTTGAAATTTCTGGGTTTATCTTATAAATCATGTATAGACATTTGCACACTTTATGGTTCTAACATTGTACAATACTGCATCACCCTTAAAAAGATCTCAAGGCACCCAAGGATGCCACTGCATCCTGGTTAAGAATCCCACTAATACATGCTTTGGTAGTCTCCCTGTGCAATCTCCTATATTTAGTCACTTACTACTTTAAAAAAACACAACGAAAAGCCCTTTTAATTTGTTCAGACATTTTCTAAAAGAAAAAAAAATAGTTACAGTATTTTATCTGTTTTAAAATAGGATTTATACATGCTGTTCTATATAATTTATGGAAATGATCTGAACTCAAGTTGCAAAATTCAAATATTATCCAGGGCATTTTGATATAGAGTATTTGCCAACCTTTAGAAAGATGGGTACTGCTTGCAAATTCAGACTTAGTTTTGTATTTTAAATACATCGCATATTCAGGCACAAGATAAAGCTCACATATGCACATAAGGTATTCAATGTAGCTCTTTTGGTACTACTCAGTGTAGAACCTCCTGGAAAAAAGCGGGACTTCAGACTTCATGAATGTGCATTAAGGATGCTGAACATACAATGTTGATGAGTGTCCCTCTTCAGCCTAAGTCTCTTCTGCTAAACCTACAAGCCCTGTAAAGCTGAAACATCCATGAAAATTCACTTCTGAGGATGCATGTTCTTGATATCTATAGAAAGCCTGTGCATCACAGCTTCAGTCCATCTAAGCCTAACTTAGCTAGCATTGAACTAAAGGAAACCTCCACATATGTGGCAGTTAGAAACTTATTTTTTTATTAAAGTAACTTTACACAGGAGAGAATTCTAATGTGCCAAAATGCCAGAAGTAAGTTGCCTAACATCTGTGCTCTTTCCTATTGCTAGAGTAACTGTACATGGGCTTTATCTTGTAACTTTGAACATAAGCAATCTGAAGATACATTCTCAGTCACATGCCCCGTAAACAACTGATTTTAGATCCAAGATCAAGGGTTCAGAAGACCTCTTGCCAAAAACAGTCACCGTCTCTCTCATCCATGGGCCTAAGCTCAAACCTAGAAATTCTCTCTAAAACAAGCGTTACTCTAGGGAATATAGTTTTCAAGATGCTCTCAAAGCTTGACAACACCAGAAAGTCCATCCAGTCAGTGCAAATATCAAGGGGCTACTCAGAAAAAGCTGAAACATACTTTCTGTTGTGCAGCAATTTAGATACCCCTTGACAAGATAAAGAAACAGAAAATCAATTGGTTAAATTTTTACCGTGTCTAAGGAAGCAGCAGCACGGAGATCCGGCAGAAAGCCAACTTCAAGCAGATGCAGAAGGAAATCCTGGTCCTCAATTCCATAGACCCTGTCAAGGAACAAAACCATGGCTGCCTTGTGATCTGGGCAAAACCCCGCAGACATGTCAGGTTCCACCACAGTACCATCTAAAAGGAAGAAATAAGACTTCAGTAATAGGGATCAACCTGCACAGATATACTAGATCACCATATTACTCCTTGTGAGGAGTATTGTTAATACTGGAACATTTTTCCAAGTGATTTTATTATGCAAAGTTCATAGGTAAATAAATAAAATGAATAAGGAAACTTAAATTCTGATAAATTAAGTGTTCTTCTCATTTATTTTGATAGTGCCAAAGCAGATAACACTTTTAGCCTATAAGAAATAATACACAATACATTAAAGTGTTGATTGAACTAACATTCCATAAAGGGAACAGATAGCCAATAGCAGAATAAATCTGAATAATGATCTCTGAAATATGGCACTGGTAAGAATGCCTTTAATGTGGGAAAATACTGCAAAGAACAACAGATCACATGAAGAAGATGATCTCAGAAAGGACAATTTATCAGAAGATCTTAAAAATATACAGCAATTTTGAGCTATGCTTAAGACCTCTTTACAGCTATAGAAAAGAAAGTATAAGTAAAACCATATAGCTGAAAACTAGAAACATTTCACTTTTTGATACTTTGTGTAACCCAAATAATCCTTTGCGAGTCTGAGTGCCTGTTTAGCAAGTGCCATTGAGCTATTGCTTCAGTCTGTAACATATCAGTATTATTTGAAAGGTAAATTAGCATTGTTTTAAACATCAAGACTGTATTAGAATTACTCTTCTGCTGAAATGACCCAACCTGTACATTTGCACATGCCAGTATTATAATGATACAACTAAGAGGGAGGTACAGGCAGCCCTCGACTTACAATGTTTCGCACTTACAACATTTCTAAATTGACACCCTGTTTCAACTTTCTGACATCAGTTTCGACTTTACAACGCTTGATCTGATGACACAGTCAGTGTGTCATCAGAACAAGTCACTGTGTCACCCATCTCCCTGGAGAACATCTGTCCAAACTTCCTTGGACACTTTCTTTAAGAAAGCAGACAAGACTCTAGAAAAACCTGCAGCCAAGACTCCTGAGAAGAATCCAGCCAAGAACCCTTCAAAAAGCCCAGCAAAGTCACCTCAAAGAAGTCCTTCCAAATCAATATGATTGCTATTTGCAACACAAATATATTAATGTAGCTATATTACTTATCTATAATTGATTGAGTACAAAATGCTGGGTTATTTTTGGTGAAAATAGGGTATCAGGCCTTGGCTCAGGAACCAATCCCTCATTTACAACTTCGTTTCCTATGGGAAAGTCAGTTCCGAGTTACAATGTTTTGACTTAAGATGCGGTTTTCAGGAGCCAATTGTGTCGAAAGTCTGAGGACTGCCTGTACTACCAAAGAGGAGGTATAGCTTTCCCTTTGATACAAATGCTCAATTAGGACTCACTGCAGCAGTGAGCTTCCTGTAGGCAAACTCATGGGCCAACAAAAAAACTCAATAACTTCTAGCTGCCCAGAAGGAGCTCATTGTTAATCAGGCATTACATTAAGTTGTATTAACAACAGGAAATTGGATTCATTTACCAGGCAGAGATGCAGAGTTAATTTTATTTCTTTTTCCCCCCCCACTAAAAAAAAAAGAGAGAGAGAGAAAAATGCATTTTCCTGGATTTTTCAAAACCTTTAACATATTCTTTGTGTCTGTTTTTATTATTTTGCAAAAGAAAAAAGCACAAACCGAAACCTGTAAAACCACAAACCTCTAAAAACTGAAAAAAGTTTCCCTAAAACAAAATAGTGAAATGAAGAATAACTATTTATCTATTTGTTCTCTAAGTTGGGGAACAAGCTCAAACTTCTTGTGATAGCATCACAACACTAGTAGTGCTTTTCTTTCATAGATGTTAGGGTTGGAAGGGACCTCAATAGATCATCGAGTCCGACCCCCTGCAGAGGCAGGAAAGAGT